TCCAGAAGAGAAGCTGTTAGTCAAAGGTTTACATTGTGTTTCATTTCCTTTACAGTAGTTTCTTGAACCCCTGCCTTACTCTTAAAATGTGGAAGTACCTTTAACCTGTTTCTTGGAATAGCAAGATAATAAAACTTATTCAGAGCTGATTGATTTGCAGGAAGGGCTTTTGCTGTAATTTTTTCAATGCAGGGCACTGCCCTTGCTGAGAGGTGATGGGTTCTGAGTTCTGGCAGTGCAGCCACTTCTCCTCCAGTGTGCCTGACTCTCCTGCCATGGGACCCTTGGACTGAAGCGTCTCCTTAGGGACTGCCTGTACTGAAAGCACAACAAAGAAATCCAAGTACATAAGCCATGCTTTTAGTCTTTGAGAAAAGGAGAGAGCAGATGTGGGCAGCCATGCCACAGTGCCCACTGGGCAGGGCAGGAGCAGGGCTGCATCAGCTGGGAATCCCGACAGGCTGCACCATGCAGTCCATATTTTGTTAAGTATTTTGCTTACTGGGTTTCACCTTTCTAAGTAAAATAGGAATGTGATTACTTTTAATCAGTGGCCTTCAAAATCCATTACAGGTGTCTAAAGATTTTCCAGGAAAGGTCTGGGCTGTTGCAGAGTGTATTTAAAGGCAATAATTAGTTGTTTCATGGACTCTCAAAGGAAGTAGCCCTTAATCAGTAAAGGTCAGGCTTTCAGTTGAACTAAATTGTCTTTCTTTGAAGAAAGTCTCTGTGCAAAAATGAGCTCTTTTTCTGAGAAGAGGGCAAGTTTGGTAGACAGTTGTGGTGAGCAGTGCAGTATGAGAGGTTTTAGGACAATACAATAAGCATGGACTAAGAGAGATTGTGATTGTATCACAGCCTGGTCATGATGGGAGGGTAGCAAGGGCAGGAGAGGCTCTGCTGGAGCCTTTTATTGCCTTGCTGTGCCCAGGCAGGACAGGGTAGCAGCTCCCAGGTGCATCTTCTGGTGGCACCTGGAACACAACGGGTTACGTGATACCAAATGTCTTTGTTTCCTGGCCTAAGCCTAGAAAACAGATTAAATGCTCTTCTAAAACATGTATTTCAGGAAAACATCTTCTGTAATTACGACAGAAAAAACTGTGATAGGAAAGGGAAGGGAGTTGGTCTGCACAAGCGTGACCTAGTTGGGAAAGGAGTCAGCTAAGCATAACTCAATTAACTGAAGTTTTCAGAGAGTCCTTGGGTTACAGTTAAGTGGATTTGTGAATCCCTACTACCACATAACTAACCTTAATTGGTGTTTCAGGATGTGAGCCAATTTCAGTTTTGGGGGGTGGATTGTGGGTTTTTGTTCTGTATTCCAGTGCTCATGCATCTGTGTGTAGTGGAGGGAGGAGGACAAGGATTTGAAGACTCTGACATTTCTGGTTAAATGGGATTTTCTGTTTTTTGAGAAGGTGTAGAAAATCAGTCTTTATTGAGGTTGATATGTGCAGGAGGCAAAGGAAAACAAAGTTCCAGTATTGTATATTCAGTTCTCCAGTATTGTATGTTTTGCACTATGTACAGTACCTTCAGTCTAAATTTAAATTTCTCTTTCTTCCTTCTAGAGTGGTCTGACACCTGCTGCTATCTCTTGTGCCCACCTGGTCAATAACCTTTAATTTCAATGTATTGGTTAGAGGGCTGTAGTACCTTATTACTTTAATTCTTATTTTCTTGTGTCAAATAACTGAATTTTTTTCTGTTTTAAGGAGAATAAACCCCAGACAGTGCAGAGATGCATATTTTATGCTATATACTTAGCATGTTGCAGTGCTAGAAATGAAGCAGAACAAGAGCCATAGTCGTGTAGTCAGGTTATAGGATTGAGTTTATTCTATACACAATATATGATGTGTCCTAGGGCTGATTCATACACAAAACCAAACAGTTACAGCACACACACAGTAAGACTTTTTTTAACTAAACACTGAGTTTGCTGTTTCTATAAATGTCATTCCACCCTTGTCCTCAATTGCATCAACTTGCATCATCTGTGTCTGTTGTATAGGAACAATTACCAGGCCTCTCAATGGTTGTAGGGTCTTTTTCTTTATCAAAACTCTTAGAAGTTGCTAAATTATATATAAATCTAATGGAGCTACAAAAAGATATTATGCTTCATGAACTTTGTAGGAAAAAATATATTTCTTGATAACTCTTGCTATTGTTTGTGCTTTAATATTTTTTTTTTAAGTCCAGATCAAATAACTGGTTGATTACCTTGCTGACATAATTTTAAAGTACTGGCCCTGTCTTTATAATGCTGCAGCATTTCCTAGTTCAGCAGGGGCTTTTTAGTGATGTCATTTTTATTTTGAAGCAATGTGGTGTTTTTGTAACTGCAGCCAATATAACTATATAAATATGTCTCTTTAGCTAGTTGGGCCTTCTCTTCCATTCTGAAGCCAAGAAACTGGCGTCTGAAATGATAGTTATGATACAGGAACACAGGCAGTATTTGTAAATTGAACTTGGAAGTGAGCTTTATCTGTTTACATAAATCAATATTGTGTATGTAATCTGATTCTTGAGTGCTGATTGTTTCAGAATATGTACCTGGCTTTATTCACCAGATCTTGCTTATTTTCTGTTCACTGGGTCTTTCATCTGAACATTTTAAACTGTCCATGCCTTGTAGTGACCTGTGACAGCTCTGTGAGGGCACTGAGCACTTTAGGTATGCAGTGTAAGCTTTGGTATCAGAGGTCTTTAATGCAAAAAAGGGGTGGGGTTTTTTTTTTTACCTAAATCTAACTGCTCAGCAGAAGCACTCAGGCCATAGGATTTGTCCATTAATTTGTGTCAAGTCCAAAAGATTTTAATAACATATGGGTTAGCTTCTTAAAAAGAGAGCTAAATAATAGAAAGTCTACTGCTTCATCTGGTAAGCTGCTAATGATAATTAGGGCATGTCTGTTTTACTGGTACTTGCCACTTAAAATTCTCTAGTGTAAATTTTCAGGTATCACATTTTACTGTGCTATATCACATTTTGCTGTGCTAATTTTGATCACACTCTCTTTACAATTTTTCCTAAATATCATATGTGTTTTAACATATTTTAACTAAAACCAATTCTTCTTGCAGATTTTTGTAGGGATGAATTAGTTTTGTTTAGTCTGCTAAGCATGAGACAATTCTTGCTTAAATTAATTTCATTCCCGTTGAACACTTTCTAGATATTTGAACTTCTATGTCAGAGTAGGCGAAATACTCCAGTAGTGATCCTTCCTGCTGTGATTTTCTTGAAATCAACATGGCCTTTGGACATACAAAGATGAACTTAGCAGCAAGATAATGCTGCAATTTTTTTTTGTGTGTGTTGTATATCCAAATCCTTTTCAGAATCTTCCCAAATTCCATTTTCCTATTCCCAAGTATGACTTGCCTATTGTTTACCAGACTTCCAGCTGGAAAAAAAGTGCAGGTCCCTAATTTTGTAGGTGACTCATATCACTACCTAAGAGGCTTGTCTTCTCTGTTATTTACCATTCCTTTAATCTTTCATGCACCCTTTATTAGACATTTTTTGCCATCCATCAGGTGAATGACCATTTAAACTTATGCCAGGTGAATTAATGTATTGTTCACATGCCATATGGAGTCCTCCAGGGTAATTCATCTGTTCTCTGGCTCTTTTTCAGCAGTGGGCTGACTTCTCTTACTTAGCTTGTGTAGATCCCTTCAAATAGTCTCTAAGCCCTGGGGTCCATGGTGTACAAGCCTGGGCTAGGCAAATATGTACATGCAAAAGCTAGTTTTACACACTTCATGATTTGCATATGCAGATAATTGCACGTTTAATTGGAGCTTTTGTTTCATGCATCCATTCTTGTATCCATCTCTCAAGTCTGCCTGCAGTGTTTGCCAAATGCTCTGCTATTAGGAGACCAGGACAGAAAAGACTTCTGAAAGGTATTTTGTGCATGATAATTGAAACGTGAATAGAAATTAACTCTCTCCCTGTGGCAGTTTTGGTGGATGACATAGGACATTTAAGCTAAAATTGTGAAGATGTCAGGTGCTTTTGTTACCCTAAAGCATCAAAATAAAGGTAAAGAACTGCTGGCAGCCCTGCCTCCACCCGCTTTTCTTTGCTGCTCTTAAAATAGACTTTGAAGGGAATGTATTTTAGCTTTCATGGAAAAGAGAGTTTTCTGTAACCTCTTCAGTAATTAAATAATTTTGAAACTTGAAGTGTTTTGAAGCAGTGAGGGGAACGACATGATCTGGTTGTACTTAAATCTGTTTGAATGATGGGTGACATCCTCGTGATGAGGGAGGAGGAGGAGAAGGGTGCTCTATAAAACACCATAAAATGGTGCCTCAGCTCTGCAGGAACTGAGTGTGCCAGGGCTCTTCATGGAGAGCAATGCCAGCTGCTGCTTTGTCTACAGAGACTTGTTGAGTTTTCATTCTTTGCACAAGTTTAGACTGACCGTGGTACAAAACAATGAATAGTCTGTATGTTTCTTCAGAACATTTCCTATGTGTTAGTGGTAACTAAAAATGGACCTCTGAAGTAAGCCTTGCTCTCAACAGGAGGGACTTGCAATAATAATCTTAAAGAACATTGTGTCCCACTTTTTCCATAATAGAAATAAATATTTCTTTTTCTTCTTCTTCAATTTTTAATCTACTTTATGATATATTGTGGCTTCTTATTCCATCTGTCAGATGATAATAACAATGCCAAGTCATACTGTCATTAGACTTCTCCCACAAGAGCCCAGGAAACCTTTTGTCTTCTAGAAAAGCTGTAGAAAAACAAAGTTCTTTGTTTGTAGTGACAACATTACGAGATAAGGAAAGTTGTTTTGTGGTGCTGGAGTGGGGAGTCGTCGGTTTTATGGGGAATGCAGCCAGTCTGACACAAAGATCCATTTCTGATAGCCCACTCTCATTTCAAGTGTAATTGAAACAAACTGCAGGGTCAGCCAACAGTTGTTATACAGCAAATGTAATTAATTTTTGTCTTTTTGCAATGGCAGATACTTTGGATGAATACTTTGAGTATGAAGCTGAGGAGTTCCTGGTCTCCTTGGCCCTGCTGATCACTGAGGGCCGGACACCAGAGTACTCGATCAAGGGCAGGACAGAGGGCTTTCACTGCCCACCAGCACAGTCCAGTCAGCCACCAACAACTAAGCATGAATGCAGCGACAAACTGGCTCAGGTATGGTGGTGGTACCCATTTCATGTCACAGATCCTTGCTCCTGTGGTTAAAGTCAGCCAAGAGCCCCACAGTGGGTTCACAGTTCAGCATGAGTAACAATGGCTTTCTGGCAGTCCTTCATTTAAATGAGTGTGTAATTCAGTATCCTGCTAATAATAGATCTGTCCTTAAAATGAGAGATCATTAAGCCTTTTATTCTTGAACATGAAGTTCTGCACACTACCTGAATGCAGTGCCTGTTTGAATCTTTATTATGCAAATGACAAGCACTATACTTAGTATTCTTGGTCTGGGGTTTCTTTTGAGAAAATGTAGGCTTGCTTGCCTAACTTTTTGCTTTTCCAGGTGTTCTGGAAAAGTTAGTGATACAAAAAACACAAGCACATCAAATTTAGCCAGGCTGTTTGGGAGTAAGGTTGGAGCATTCCATCTCTCAAATAAAAGTTCTTAAGTACTGTGGGAATTTAAGTCATATTCATGCAGAAATTAGCCTGCTCCAAGATACAGAATTTATAAAGATACTGCTTGAGTCTGTCTACCCAAGAGGGTGCCTTGTGGAGATAACTACAAGGTAGCGAAGTGCAGTGGTTGGGGAAATGCATTTTTACAAGCTTTTTAAATTTCCTAAAGAAAGTTGCTCAAATGGCAACTGTAAAGGAGGTGTTAATTATTTTTTCGTTTAATATCTCTGGAATCTTATTTCTGATTTGGTGAAACCAAACAGAATTTGACCTTTACCCTGTTTTGGAATGTGCTTTTAAATAGCATTTAAATCTGGCTAATATTTTTATGGCTAATGTGTGTTGACATTTTGCTTTCCCTCAGTGTCGTCAGGCCAGGCGAACCAGATCTGAGGTTATGCTTCTGTGGAAGAACAATATTCCAATCATGGTAGAAGTGATGCTACTTCCAGACTGTTGCTATAGTGATGAAGGGCCCACCACAGAGGGGAATGATTTAAATGATCCTGCAATCAAACAAGATGCATTGCTGTTAGAAAGGTGGATTTTGGAGCCAGTTCCTCGACAGTAAGTTGGATATGAGCATTAGTTGATAATTGCAAGAATTTTGTCATATTTAGGTCCTTAAAGTAATCAGTGTTTTTGAGCTGGATCTTTGCCATGAGGACTGATCTAAGAAAACCACTGTTTGCTAGTGAAATCAAAGCATTTCAGTTTTAGTTATCTTATACTCAAAATTTCTGCAGTGTCCATTGTGCAGTGCAGAGTATGAAATGATCCTGGCTGCAAATGGTAACATGTAATATATGTTATGTCAAATTTTTTCATGTGTATAAGAACAAATCAGGCTCTGGAAACTTCAGAATGTTTGAGGAGTTTTTGCTTTGCTTGATTTAGCTATATTTTATTTTCTGACCAAAGATCTGACAATGTTCTAATAGATCTCTGAAGATTCTTACCAACACTCATGTGTCTGTCTTCAAATGCTTAGGAGTGGAGATCGATTTATAGAAGAGAAGACCCTTTTACTGGCTGTTCGCTCCTTTGTTTTCTTCTCTCAGCTGAGCGCGTGGCTGAGTGTTTCACATGGTGCTGTTCCCCGAAACATCCTGTACAGGTACGTCTGCAGTGGAAAAAAGCTCCTTGCTGTTTGCAGATTGCTGTAGCTTGTCTTGAAATCATTCTTCTCTCCTGTTTCCTGCTTGCTTTTAGAAGGTGACATTTTGTTGGCCTGGTTCTATAGGATTTGTGTACTATGCAAAGTACAGCAGTTGCTGATGTTTCTAGTGCTTTTCCTTAGATATTTGTTACAAAGTAGATAATTTAAAACTTTTCATGCAGCTGTTTTTGTAAATGCCCTTTGGTATTGTTTCAGGGTGAGCGCTGCAGATGTGGACTTGCAATGGACGTTCTCCCAGACACCCACTGAGCATGTCTTTCCTGTTCCTAATGTTTCTCACAATGTGGCCTTGAGGGTCAGCGTCCAGTCCTTGCCCAGGCAATCCAACTACCCAGTTTTGACGTGTAGTATTCACACCAACCTTAGCTTTTACGAAAAGCAAATGCAAGAGCGTAAGTTCCATCAGCGCAGCGATCCCGGTGCTGCTCAGCAATGCAGTACTTCCAGTCCCCTGCGTTTTCGTGGGAAACAGACATGGACAGTGACACCTGAAGGCCTACTTAATGGAAAAAAGATGCCTGAATTTACTACATCTTTTAGAAATTTGAAGCTTTATCCATCTACTGGACTTGGATCTGACTTTGGGGCATCGCAGTCTAAAGTTCAGTGCTATAATGCCACAGCAGACAATAAGACACAGTCTCATGAAACACCGGTCAGAACTTTTAAATCTTACTCTCTGGTCGATTCCCGTGTTTCAAATAGTCATTGCTCTCATCAGCCCACAGGAGAAACCAATCCTTTGATAGGCTCTTTACTTCAAGAGCGACAAGAAGTCATTGCAAGGATTGCTCAGCACTTGATTCACTGTGATCCAGCTACTTCACCAGTTGTTGCTGGGCGTCCATTCACCACACATGAAAACATCTCAGCTACACCAAAAGCTTTTCGGAGCACTTTCGAAGAGGAAAACTTGCCAAGGAAAAGCAAGGAAAGCTCCCCTGTTCCTGCTGCCAACTTAGACAATGCAATACAGGAGGATGGTGATGAAGGCAAAACTAGAGCAGTGCCAGAGGTCACCCTGCTCAATGCCCGTGTTCCAGGGAACCACGGTGGCCGTCAGTCGGCAGGAGAGGGTAACCCCCTGATTGATTCCCTGCTCCAGGAGCGGCAGGAGGTGATAGCAAGGATTGCCCAGCACTTGATTCATTGTGATCCAGCTACTTCCCATGTTGCTGGACATCCATTCAAAGTGCATGAGGCTAGTCCAGTCACGTCAAAAATTTTCCGAAGTACATATGAAGATGAAAATTTGCTGAAGAAAGGCAAGGAACAGTCTTCTGTTTCTTCTGCTAAATCAAAATTTTCGTTGTTAGAAGACGGCAGTAAATCGGGGACAAAGACACCTGATACCCCTATCAGTCCTAGGTTTGATGGAGAATTGAAGACTTCTCTAAAAGTCCAAGCAAGAAGAAAATTGGTTTTAGCAAAACCCAGTGAAGCTGTCCAAAATTCATTTCATCAGACTTCAAATAAAACTTCTCATGCATTTAGTAGCATTCACATATCATCATCATGTATTAAAGAAAACAAATCTGAAATTCCAGAAAAATTGGAAATACATTCTGGTTATGCACAGAAAGACCAGATAACCAATAGAATTAAACAGGGTTCAAATTCCAGCAGCATTGATGAACAGATTTGCACAAATAAACTTAAAGAAAGAACAGTTGTTAGTGAGAACAATGGCACAGACAGTTTTAATAATTTACAGATAGAAAAATGCAGAATACTTGAAGGTACAAAAAAAGCAACTGTGATACCGATATCTGACTCTTTGCACAAAAATGAGCTCAAGTGTTTAGACAGAGACTCCAAAAAACCAATTATTTATGAGCAAAATACACAACTTGTTAGTATTGAAAATTATTTAAATAAAGACCATGACAGTTTCAAAACCAAAACCAAACAAGATAAAACAAAATCTGCACATGATGAAAATGAAGACCCAACAGGCCTTGATTTTCAAAGCACTTCTCAGAAGAAACCTGCAGAAGACAATGTGGTTAAGTGTGAGCGGCAGAAGAACCCAGATGTACAGGTAAGTCCGTACGGGAACTGACAATAATTCCTCTAGCTGCCCTTTGTCACACAGCTTGTACCCTCTCTCTGCTAAGAGCCAGCATGAAGCGGAGTTTCAGCCTGACCTTGCAGGTAGCAGCATATTACCATTGTAGTCTTGGCCTGAAGTAACTCAGGAAGAATTTCTTCATGGAAAGGGTTAAGCATGGGAATGGATTGCCCAGGTGGTGGAGTCACCATCCCTGGAGGTGTTCAAGAAACAATTTAGTGCCATGGCCTAGCTGACAAGGTGACCTGTCAGATGATTCTGTGTGATGGGGTAATTTGGCCGGTGGTGCCTCCCCTAAAATCCATCAGTTTAACATGGAGAATGACTAACTGTCCTATTCCCCTCATGGTGACAGAGTTATGGATGATGTTTCCCTGGGCAGTGAGGCATCCTGGTTTGTAGAAATACACCATCTGAGTATGGAATGTGATCTGTTAGGGGCAGGCTGTGTAACTGTAGATGGAGTCAAGGGGAATTTCTACTGAGTGTTTCATCCTGTGCTAGTGTGATGTAGATCCACCTGGGTCAGGAGTCTTCTCCCTTTCAGCAAGGGAGCATTACCATGATAGGTCACTGAAATATCCCACTGGTAACCTCAGTAAATTTGTTTTGCTGGCAGAAAGCACCACCTCTAAAACACACAAATACCTGGCGGAAACACAATTTTCGATCCCTGGATGGAACTTCAACCAAGGCTTTTCATCCCAGAACTGGACTGCCTCTGCTTTCCAGTCCTGTAAGTTATTCTTGAAATTCTTTTAGTGAGAAAGGGACTGTTTGTTCTTCTAATCTCTGTGCATGGTATAAAATCTGACAAAATACCTAGGTGAAGGGTGTGTATTTACTTTGTGTCGTAGTGAATACTCTTATGAGTGGAAATTAATGCTTAAATGAGAGTTAACATGTAAATTAGACTGAATGTAATTTTGGAGAAGAAAATATTAAAGACTGTTGAGATCATATCAAGATTAGCAAAAGGTGGCATTAAATTGAGAAATAGATGGAAACAATGCTTTGGTGCTATTTTAGAGCACAAAAAGCATTTGGAAAATCAGTGTTTTAAGCGTAAGTTAACATTTTATCTTTTAGGAGGTTTTGTGTTCCTTTTTAACAGCTGGTTGCCCATTATTCCAAAGCCTTTGTTTCTGTGAACAGCTTGTACTGTATGTTCTTCAGTAACCAGAGGTGTAATGGAATGACTTAGTGAACAAAGCTGCAGTGATAAGGCAGACACTGGGGAAGTGTTGCAGTTCTCAGTAGGTTGTTTGGAGTTTTAAAAAACAGGCAGTTCCTATTAAAACTACTGAAGTAGTGATGTCCTGTAGTCAACACATGATGTGCTTTATTCTTCATTGCCTGTAAAGGCTGTCATATTTTCAGGGAAATTGGATGGAAATTGTTACAGCCTGTTTATTAGTAATATTCTGTCCTGGTCCAAAGAGACATCAGCTTCCTGAATGTCTTTATTGAAATACTTCCTGTTAATCAGAATTTCCAGTCTCATCATTAATAATTCTAGAACTTTCTTCACTAAGTTTAAAATGTATAGGAATTACATTCTCTGCTCTGTTTTTGTAATTTTGTAATGTCATGAAAATTCTTGGCAAATTGTGCATACTTGGCAAAATTGTCTGTGGTAGCAGTTCAGTTTTCAAATTAACATCTTCTTTCCTTGTTGAGGTTCCTCAAAGGAAAACACAGTCTGGGTGCTTTGATCTGGATTCATCACTGTTGAAATGTCTGTCTGCAAGAAGGTATGTTTTATTTACCAGAAACACTGAGATTTTTGCGGGAGGCATAATGTGTATATATATATTTATATGCAAAATCAAAGCATGTTAGCAAAGCCAAAAACTGCTTTCAAAAGAATCCTTATTTTGATACAAGGCTTAGCAGCTGAGTTGCTCTGGGAGTTTCCAGGTTAGCACAGCTCTGGGACATAGCCATGGAATGAGAGCTGCTGGCAGAATGAATTCTGTCTCATGCAGGGGTAGGTATGCTGTCAGATACACTTGAGTTTTCAGACAGAAAAGCTAGTAATTGTTGATTCTCCTTCAAACCAATGTTATTTTTGTGTTGTATTTTGTTCTTAGTGTTGAACATGTTAAGCATTTTGTCTTCACTTGTTCAGAGAACCAGACTTTTAAAAAGGGCCAATCATGCCCTTTCATACATTAATAGATGTAACATAAACAGCTTTTGGTATGGTAGTTTGATGTTGGAAATATAAGATATATCTCAGAATATGAGACAAAAGTACCCACATACAAGAGAAAATACGATATTTTGATTCCTGCAAATGGAGCTAAAGAACAAATTTTTGTTGTCTTTACTCCTTGTAATGTAAAGCTGGTAAAAATATTTTTTCAGTTAACTGGAAAACCTTCTGATAAAGTTTTAAATGTTCAACTGTTACTTCTTTAGGACAGCATTTTGTAGTACACTAAGTAAATTATTCTTTCTAGAGCTGCTTATACCCAGAAGACAAAAGCAAATGTGTTTATCCTTTATATTTATTCTGTCTTTTTTTAATAGCCCACAACAATGTATAAACAAAGATGGTGATCCAGACAGCCATGGGAAACCATTTCTAAGTTCTAGTGCTCCCCCAGTAACAAGTCTGAGCCTTCTGGGAAACTTTGAGGTATTGCATATTCTCTAGAATTCTTGTGGTATTTTTAATGCTCTTCTGTACTGCTTTTAAAAGTATATTACTGTGAACAATTCCAGCATTATTAGAATGTGAAAGTTCCTAACTGAATTGAATAACATTTGTTTTCATTTCCAGCTATAAAGGCACTTATTTAATGCCCCAGACATCTTCTGTCTCCGAGAATCAAATACAATGAGTTGCTTAAGCCTTTGTTTCCCACTACGGTCAAGTTAGAAGATGTTCTGTTGCCATAAATGAGATTTAATAACCTGTAATTGTTCATGTTTATAATGTACTTACCTAGAAAAAAGGATTTACATTTCACTCTTAAAGTCTACTTAGTATGTCACAAAAGCTGGATTAAATCAGTGTGTTAAACAGAATGTGTTTGAAGTGTAAGCTCCAGCTCTTCACTTCATATAGCACATCCAATAACAGCAGCTATTAGCCAGTGCCTCAACTGCTTATATTGTACTGTCTTGTGAAATACAGAGTTGAATTTGTTGGGGAAGGTTACAGAACCCAGGTTAATTTATATTTTTCAGAAGTATATGTTGAAAATCAAGCATAGATCCTGCTGCAATAAAGTTCTCTATGGGCTTTTGCACTTGTTTCCTGATTACAGAATTTATTACAGAAGTAATGCTTTGTTTTATTTGAGGTGTTGCAAGCTAAGCCGTGTGTGCTTTGTTTTTCAGGAATCTGTCCTGAATTTCCGCTTGGACCCGCTCGGTGTCGTGGAGGGTTTCACAGCAGAGGTGGGAGCAAGTGGAGTCTTTTGTCCCACGCACATGACTCTGCCAGTTGAAGTGTCATTCTACAGCGTTTCAGATGACAATGCTCCCTCTCCTTACATGGTAAATGTGTGGTTGGATTTATTTTAAATAAGTTCTGATATGTGGAGGTGAAGAGCAAGAGCTTGGTGAGTAGAGGGTTCAGAAAGTAAAGATTTGCAGGGATCTGGCTTATTTTCAGCTGCCTATGACAGAGTTCTCCTGTCCCTCTTCCTTTGCCTAACCAGTGATTTTCCTTCTACTTCTCTGCCTCGCCATTTAGCTGTTCTCATCTTGGGCTATTGAATGTATTTGTCTCCCCCCACACTGCAGTGATCAACCCCCAGCATCTCTTTTTATCCATCTAACTTAAAATAGCAGTGAGGCAATAGCTGGACTTAACGGGATACATTTTGTTGTCCCAACAAGCAGCTGCTCTGGGCAACTAACCACTCTGCAGAGGGGCTTAGGTGCAGGCCAAGGGGCTGATGGAGACCTTAGACTTGGAAGTTACTCAGCCCTTTCTTTTGAAGCAGATATTGCCAGGGCTGTGGTGGCACTCAGCACCCTCACAGGCTGCACGGTTTGCTGATGTTTGCAGTGTTTGTGTTCTCAGTCTCTGGGTGCTAATTCTGTTCCACATGGGCTTTGCGTGTCTAAAAGTGCTCCTCTGTAAAAAGAAAATGGTGTCTTGTATGCTGGCATTGAATCAGAGGTTGGATTTGTTCTGAATGCCTGTTAAGGAGCCTTAATTTTACGTAGATGACAGGTCCAATTTTTAGAGATTTTCATATGTGTGCATCTATCTAATATACAGTAAAGGGTTTGTTTAAATGGGGAAGTCAAGCAATGAACATCTGAGTATCCCAGTATTTAGATTTAAATTTTAAATTCATAGCAGTTACCATTTCTGACCTTCTGTTTTGGAAAGTATTCAGAAAATAAAATTGCTTAGAGTGTAAGTAATGGCTTTGAGTTTAAACTTGTATATGTTTTACCACTGCAAAAAGTATCTATTCTTTTGCTTTCATCTTTCTAGATTATTTAATGTGATTTTCTAGGAGGTGAAGGGATTCTCATGTTCCTCAAATGGTTAAAAGTAGCATTGCTTATTTTCCTAGCTGGGTTTTATTGTTTCAGGCTTTTCCACATGCTATTTCCAAATATGCTATTATGGCTGAGTCTCCCAGGATTAATACAGCATTTGTGTAGTGCCTCCATCATCAGAAACATTGTTTCTGTTTGTACAGCTAGTTTCTCTGCTGCGGGGTCTTTTTCTGGGCGTTTGTTTGGTGTTTTTGAAGTGCCGGGGTGCAGTGGGGTGCGGCACTGGTGCCCTGCAGGGTGCCCGGACGTGTGGCACTGCCCCCAGCGTGGCCAGCGCCTGGGGGGCACAGCTGGTACAAAAGCAGACGTCATCCTTCCTAAGGTTTGGATTAGAATGGAAGGTTAAATGCATCTGCTGCCTTTGAAAAGCAAAAATGAGTTCTGTGAGATTTGGAGTATTATTGATGCGACTGTAGATGATATAGAAATGGAAAGGAGGGGACAAATGTTTTTGGTTTAACCCCCAGCTGCTTTGAAAAGAAAGCTCTGTTTTGTCCTAGCTCCCTGATGTGGAGAAGATGTGGAAACTTGAATCTTGTTTCAACAGGAGAACGTACCTCTTATTGCACAGCTTTTAATGGTCTGCCAAAGTATCTTTAAGGCCCCTAGTGTTGATTTTTTAACTGCATCGTAAATGCACTGCCTTCTCTATTTTTAGTTTTTATAAATTACTGATTATGTTTCAAATAAATGCAATTACATGACTAGAACATTTTGATTTGTTTATCTCTGTGACTTAAATATTGGTTTTGTTTTTGTAGGGTGTAATTACTTTAGAGTCCCTCGGCAAAAGGGGTTATCGAGTACCGCCTTCAGGAACAATACAAGTGGTACGTACTCAGCATGTAAGGGTGCCTTGAAACCACTAATATCAAGGAAGTCATGCAGAGTTGAGTTTATTGGAGATGAGCATGAAGCTAGCTGTGGAAATGTGCATCTCTGTAATTCAAAGTAGAAATCTGTGTGTGAGGCAAAAAATATTCCCAATCTTTGAACAATTCTGTGCTCTGAGGAGTCTTACAACCAGTTCCAGGAGATTCAGAATACTTGGGGACACTGTGGCTTTAAAAAAGTGATGGGGAAGTATTTAGGCCACAGTCCAAATCCTGAAATTCTTCTAAAGCAATTAAGATTGAATAATTGTATCTACTTTTGTAATATTTTAACACCACCTTTACTTTTGTAATAAAATCATGAAGTAAATCACAGTCATTGCTTAGAACCAGTGAACTGACTCTTTATTTTAAGAACCCAGTCCATGATAACACATTCATAATTTCAGGTTTAAAAGCGGAGCCCACCACTGTGCTTCCTGCGAGTGTATTGTGTCTGGAAAACAGTGTAGACAAAAAGCTGACTGGAAAAATAAACAAAAACGGGGATGCTGATTAGCAAAGTAAGAGTAGTCATATACTAGCGTTTCATTCAGATTAGATTGTGTTTAGCATTATAATTATAATATCATTAAAATGGGAATTGCTGGTAGCTGAAGTGTTGAAAACCAGAAAGGCTTCACAATGTCTTTACATAAATGTTTCTGTATGGCACGGAAACAAAGTGCATAGATAACTATTTTGACAGATCGAGTTTGGGTTAGATTTGTTGTTCTTTTTAAAAAAAATTGTCATCTCTAAAGAGTATTGTATTGAACTGTTTGTCTTTTCAGACCTTATTTAACCCTAACAAAACTGTGGTGAAGATGTTTGTGGTGATCTATGACTTGAGAGAAATGCCAGCTAATCATCAAACATTCCTACGGCAAAGAACTTTTTCTGTTCCTGTGAGACGAGAAATCAAGCGAAATGTCAATAAAGAAAACAGCCACCAGACTGAAGAAAGGCTACTACGCTACCTCATACATCTGAGGTAAGCTCCTTGAAGTCAAAACACCAAAATAAAACAAAAAACTCCCAACAAACCCAAGCCAAAACCATAAAAAAGTATCTGCCAAAATTTAACTCATAATTTCTTCCCCAGCCAGCCTTTCTGTATACAGAAATAAGAAAGAATGAAAAGAAAAAAATAAAATAAAAGAATGCTAACTTGGTCTTTAAGCTAGACAGTAGAGGAGAAAGAGGTAATAAATAATTTGGGTTGTCCTTGGGAAAAACCAAGTTAAAATATAACATAAAGCTCTCTCTTGGCATTAAAGTATGTTGTATAGCATTATAAAGCTTAAACCTTTTCTTAGTGAGAGAGAAATTGTTCTGGCTGAATCGATGCACATTTTTTGAGGTTAGAGGAAATAGTGAAAGTGCATGTTACATGAGCAAAAGCCAAAACTAAGGATCACTGAAGGGAAGGTGTGCTTCACATGTGCCTCTTCACCAGAATAGTTTATAACACGAAAAATGGTCTGAGCTGCTCCTAAAAATACAGTGTTTAGTGGCAAAAAATGTAAATGGCTGTTTCATGATGCAATACTGGTGATGATGCCTTTCACTTAATAAAATATTCACTCAATCTTCCTTAAATGATTTACAAAGCACTGCCTGGAACTAGACACTGTGCTGCTGCTCTTGGGGTGTTCTGGAAACTGCAGTGGGAAACAAAGGGGAATGATGGATGTACTCTGTCCTCCTGCAGTTTGCAGACTTTTTGTGTGTGTTTTTGTAGTAAGAAATGTCTGTACACACAGACCCAATGCTTTCACTGCAGCACTTGGAAAACCACCAGCAGCTGACATTCTGAAGTGAGCAAGCAGAACAAAATCAAATATCTTACACTTCTCTATTGTTTTACAATTATTTCTGGTGCATATTATTTTTCTTATTTAGTGGCGTTGATTTCTATCCAGCAGACTTTTCAAACACAACCTTGTCTAGATTCTAAGCCAGACTCTGCCATTAAATGGAAGTTGACAGTCATAAAAAGTGTTTTGGTTTACTGGAGTGTGAAAATAGTGTCATGAGAAGGCTGTTGAGCAGTGTTTTCATTCTGAAATTCAGCCTTTCAGGCCACACTATCTTGCAAGGTCCAACCTAACCACCTTCCAAAATTTTTCTTTTGGGGCAAATTCTGAAAAAGTGTGTAGCCCAACAGATGGCTCTGCTCAGATGTTGATCTGAGTGTGCAGAGGAACTGGGGACAGGCCTTGGCTGCAGTGGTGGGTAAAATCTGTGGCCAGCTGGGTCTAGCATACCTGCCTGAGGAGTAGTGGTCATGTGTCCCCTTTCAGTTTCTACTTTAATGTTGTTTGTAAATTTCTTGTTGACAGAATCAAGAATTACTTTTATTTGAAGGCAAACCTGCTTTCTGCTCTCTCATCTGATGCAGCTAGAAGTCTTTTTTAAGAGCTTCCTATTTCTGATACCTGCTGAGACAAAAATGTTGCAGTTCTGTTGCTTCTTATTTTGAGATATCTGTACGATTCAGCTCAGCTTTCAGACCTCTGGTAGGGATCAGTTCACGGGTTTATAATGTGTAATTGGAAATGCATCCATTTCTGATGGGAAAACCAAAATCATCACTATGATGCTGAGCTGCTTACTTTGGAAAGTGAAAAACTACAGAGTATGCCACAAGTTTTTTCTTCAGTGATAAGCCCAAGCTGTGGGTCCTTTCTCATAATGTAAGAATGGCAGAATTCCTTGAAATGTTAAAGTAGCTTATGTTGATCTGTCTTGTGGTTTATTATACTGAGCACTTATGGTTTTACAAAAGACTCAGTTGTCCATGTAGTAGCCTTCTTTACTAAAGATGGATTTTAATTAGGAGGGCTTAAAAAGTCTTAGTAGTATATTAGTTCGTGTAAATTGGTTTTAAAGCTTCATTTTGAAAAGGAGCAAAGTTTTCTCAAGCCTGCTTTACTGAAAAGTTATGCAAACCTAAAAGGTTTTAACTATTCAGATTTCTTTTTGTTTGTTGCTCAAGTTGACTTAGAACAGCCTTTCAGTTTTAGTTGCAGTAGTCATTGAGCACAAGTATCTTAGGCTTACGTACTGAAATTTTGTTTAAAAAAACAAATGAAGTCACCACCAGTGAGCTGCATTGTGGTCGCATCTGCTTGCAGGCCTTAATCACAGTTGTCAGCACTCACATTATGAAAGCTCCTTTTCAAGTGGTAATTCAGCAAAAACGCTTGCACAGGTCTGGAGCTTAACACTGGCGGCCAGATTTTCTACAACAGTCTTTAAAGTGTCAGATTTATTGTGTGTGCAGCTTCTGCATGCAGTTCTATGTGGCTGAGGCTCTGTTCAATATGCCATCAGACTGTACTTGTACCCACAGCTACAGGACTGGGACACCAAATGTAGCTTGCACACACAGCAGAGCTTTATTCATTATTAAAAACCCCCAAGAGTTGCACCTGCAGTTTAAGTTGTTTTTTGAAGATGCTTTAGGCATAAATTTTTCTTTGCATGTGAAGCAATGACTTTTTGTCCTGTAATTAAATCTACTTGAGCATAAGAGCTGTGAGCTCAGCTTTGCTTGTGCCTCATTTCTGCCTGGCGTTGTGGGGATGATGACCATCTGTGGGTTTCTAGGTCACGTTCTGGCACCCTTGTAAAAAGTAATTAAGCAGCTAACCTGCCCACAGCTCAGCATTTTTCAAGATTTTAAAGCTTGGTCAACAGCCTTAGTTACTGACACGATGCCAGGAATTGCATGGAGCATAGTTGCTGTTGCTTAACAGCTAAACAGGGGTTGTTACTGAGGGCTCAGTGCAGGGTAAGCTTGAAACTGGTTGTTAAAAAGTAGGGATACCTCAAGGTGTTGAGAAACTTTTAAAATACTGTCCTTATGTGACATACACCTTTATTGGTGGAAGCTGAAGGTACCTGCTATTACTGATTTACTAGCTGCTTTTGATATTTCTGGTCTCTCAGCATTTTTTCTTATCTATAAATTGTTATCCTTGTCCTAATGCTTTTAGTTACAGATTTTATAGGTTGTGTTGTATAGTGTTTTTCACTTACAAAACACATCTTGCTACAGATGTTTTCATGATTATCCTGCTTTTCAGGATTATTCTGTTTCTGTGCATGACTCTGTTCTTTGTGAATTGTGATGGCCTACAAAATACATATAGGGACTTTGTGCTTGTATTTGTCATTTCTTCAGTAAAGTTCCTCTGCCAGACTTTCTAGCATCTGATATTTGTGTGTTTAATTATTCCTGTATTTGTCTGTTGTTACTGTTCCTAGGACACCATCTGTCAGAGACCTTGGTTGTGTTGTGATTTTTTAATTTCTTTACACAAAACTGGAGCTGCCACAGCTCCAGTCAGTCCCATGCTGGCCACTCCATCACCACCTTGCAAGGATGTATGGAATGCTTATCTCGATTATTCAAATGAATTTGCATGTATAAAAATCAACACTTCTAAATTCCAATTACTAGGTTAGACCTGTCTAAAAGAAAAGGAAAAAAAATAGGTAAGGGATGCAGAGATGAGAAGAATCCCTTGAACTTTGCTGCTGTTGCACACTTATCCTTCTTCAATCTTCCTGAAATGTCATGCTCAGAAAAGTCATGTTGCAGGGAACCACTATTTACTGAGCAAAGGGAGTCTTGCAGGATTATCACTCATAGAAAAGAGCAAACTTGAGAAGTTTAAAAATAGACCATCTAATAATTCTTTTGAAAGATGCATGTGTGAAATGGGAGCTTGAGATCTATTTTATGATGGTGCTTTGATAACTAGATCTATAGGAATTAATTTCAATCATACTTTTGCTGCAATAGACCTTTCACTAATTTTTTTCTTTTTAAAATGTGTTATGAGCTAGATTCTGAGTTAACTGTTTGTGGTGGTTGCTTTGTCCCTTGTGTCTTTCACTCTTCCTTGTGCTCTCCTCCACAGTCTTCTCTTAAGATAGTGTCTTCTCCCTTTTGCCTGTCAGGTAAAGGGCTTTCACACTGACAGCACCGTGCAAATAAATAGTGATGGATGAGATCTCTGTGGGAGCCAGTAGGAGCATTCTGCTGGACCCTGCTGCATTTAATGTCCTTGACAGCTGTATCTAGGAGAACAGAGTTTTCCTTTGTCTGGCTGTGGGGATGACTACAGGCTATTCTGCACCACTCCTCTGAACAGAACAGTGCCACAGAATCCATTTCTGCAACTTGCCTTCCTCAGATGATGAAGCCTTGGTGGATCTTCTGCACTTGTCTTTCTCCTGCTGTTCAGAATTTCAGTCCAGTTTTGAATAGGTTTATTCTAGAGATACTGCTTTTGCTTCAAGGGGGTCAATATGTACAAGCCTATTAAAAATCTGTGCAAACTGTAACACATGATAACACAGCATGCACTGCTCTCTCAGCCTTTGCCATGGCATCATCTTGTTGTGACAACAGCAATGGCTTTTCTGTTTCTGTTGCAGCAGCAACAGCATTTCTCTGTCGCTGTGGCATAGTGGTACTGACATAAATTCAGCTGCTGTAAGAAATGTTCCTTAGGCTGTTCTGCCTTTCATGGAGGAGAGAAGGAAATCGGAGAGCTCTGTGACATGAAAACTATAGAATACAGTTCTCTGAAATGCAGATCTTGTCTCCCTATATACAGTTGTTAATACCTAGGGGAAGTGGAACTGGCACATTCCTGCAGGTTTGGAGGACCTAAATTAGGGTGTTTAGCTGCAGCATAAAAGATGAATGGGCTGAGGAACTGACCACTGTTTGCTTGGTGACTGGGCCAGTGAACTTGCAGTCTCTTAGAAATGTTTCCTAGTCTGTGCAAAAAAAATTCTGTCTGCCTGCAGAGATCCCAGCACTGACTGCTTCTCAAGACAAGTTCTTATATTTGGAGTGTGGTATAAAGCAGTAGTAAACTTCCTGGTGTTACATTCATAAAAAGAGCAATGAGATCTGTCTATATGATTGCTGGAACTGAAATGCATATTCAGTTTGTACATAGTTGAAAATTCCTTTTTGTGTGTGCTTAGGCCACCCTTTGGACATTTTTAGGAGTGCTCACTGAAGAGCAGTTTTTGCCATTCCTGATTTCTGAGGACTTTAGTCTACAATGTACATAATAGCAGTGTGAACTCAAATATGCCATGCCATTTTTAAAGCTGTGCACTGCATTGGTGATCAGGAAGAGAACCTTTAAATGTCAAAAGAAACAAAGCAGAATGAAGGTGTTAGGATATTCTTTCTCTTTTCATTTTAACTGACTAATTTTGTTTGTTCAAATGTGTTTTGGCCTTAAATGTTTTAAGAGTGCATTTTATTTAATCATTTTTAAATATTATTATTTTGGTTTAGGTAATACAGATATTTGTATCTTTTCAGGTTCCAGAGTTCTAAATCTGGAAAGATCTACCTCCACAGAGATGTAAGGCTCCTATTCTCTCGGAAATCCATGGAAGTTGATAGCGGCGCTGCATATGAACTCAAATCTTACACTGAATCTCCAACAAATCCTCAGTTTTCACCAAGATGCTAGCAAACAATGGCAAAGTCAAGTATTCATTTTACTGTTGAGTACTCCTTGCAAGCAAAGATTGGTAGAGACAACAGTATCAAGTTAAGTCTGTAAAGGAATAAAAATAGCGCTCAAGAGAAAGAAGGTTCTGTGTGATCCTGGACCAGTTTTTAAAAGGTTTCTGGAATGAGCTTTGTGTATTCCAAGTAGACTGGAAACATACTTAAATCTAATCTTTTTGTACTGTTTAAAACCACTTCATTGGATGTGTTGCAATAGCAAATTCCCAAGTTAGTTTAGTGTTTACACTTTTTATTTTATTTTTCAGTTATTTAATATTTAATGTTTCATTTAATACTCAAGTGATGTTTGTCTTTAGTGTTCTAATGTAGCATAAATCCTATGTAAAATCATACTATGTATTTTTGGCATTAATATTGAAATCTGAAATATATACAGATGTCTTTAATCTGTGTGCTGTTTTAAGTGATATTCATTTAAGTTATTGAAAATGGGGACAACAGGTGAATTTCCATAACATTTCATACTATGCAAGCATTTAGCTGTTTTTTTCTCTTTAATGGTACCATTTTCCATTTTTTCTCACATCCAGATTTAATAACACTTGCAACCACACTGCAGATTGTTTATTTACTTACTTATTCATTCAGATCATTCATTCAATTCACATTTTGCTCCCTCAATTTCTTTTTTCTTTCCTTAAGGGCCATTTTAATTTTGCTTTCTGTTATTAATTTTCCTCAGATAAAATTTGCACCCTCCCCCATTTTATTTCTCAAATTGTGTTAAAGGATGTACTGTGCAAACAAATTAGTATTTATATCTCAAATATATGCAAAAGCTATAAAACTTGTACTTTTTGTTTTATTTTTAGATGAGAGGATCTTCACTAAATATTTTTCATAGGTCAATTCCATGTAGGCCACTAGGTGGCCATAGGAGGTTTTACTGGCAATGCTACACTGGGCATATGACTATTTTCCAATGTGTGTGTGTGTTCCTACAACAAAACAGTCAGATGAACAGTTTATGCTAAGTGTTAAACTGTGTAACTGAGAGAAATAAAGTTAGAAGCATTTGATTATATTTGAGCTATATATTTCATAATGGAAATGAAGCTTTATGACATTTGATGGAGATCTGAGTTTCTCAGCTGTCTTACCTTGATTTGTGTTTTTCTTTACTTTGCTGTAGGTTTTTAGAGTGTCAGTAATATGCAAGGTGCCCTTTACCATGCTTATCTGATGAAGACTGGAGAAAGGATGAATGTGCATCCTGTATATTCAGCACTGCCCCTAGATGAGAGAAGTCAGTGTATCATGAAATCTCCAGGAAGTCTGCCAGGGAACGTAAGGGAGACTGGACTTTCCAGATGATACTCATCAGCTATCTTGTACATGCAAATGACTGCTGCTCCAGAAGGGCAAAGCTCAGATATTACTGAGTCCTCTCCCCACGTCAGCAGTGTTTTCCACTCTGCTACACCAGGTTTTCAAAGGTTTACCTAGCATTCATTTTAGAGAGAATCAGGGGAAACTGTACAGGAAGAGATTGTTTGCAGTTTCTAGTCATTTGTGCAGCCTTTAAAACTGAGAAAAGGTTTCTTTTGGTAGCAGAGGAGCAAACACAACTGCAGCTGTACTGTGTACAGAACTAAGGCATGGACTGGGATATCAAGAGGGCGTCCTAGTTTCTGTGTAGCTGCTATTGAGTCATAAGCAAATAGCATGTATCCTCAAACTGCTTATTTGTGTCATGGTGCACAGCTTGCTTGCATGCTCAATGAAAAAACACACGAGGAAAGGACACATTTTTAATGAAAAGTCACCATTAGTAGTAGATTAACCTTTTATTTTTGCATTGACATTCTGCAATGTTTGTATCTTGATAACTTTATTTTAATAGACTTCTTCAAGTCATCTTCTTTCATTAATTTGCTTTGAATAGCAAAGAAGTGGGGATTTTGAATATGTGGTTACTACAAGTCATGTCTAGGAAATAAATTTGTATTCACTTTAATAGTCAAACTACATTTAGTCCCTATGTGGATTTGGAATGAAAGTGACCTTGGATTATCTGTGCACAACTTTGATTTTACTGAGTCATTCTCCATTTACAGCTTAATCTGAGTAAACACTTTCCATTAGGGACACACCTGGAAAAATGCTGGCTGCTCATAAACTATGAACTAAATTCCACATGACCTTCTAAGCTTAGGTTAAGACTAGACTAATTTTTGAGAGATCATTGGTTTCTCTATTCCTCAACAGGCTCAACCATACACAATTATTTTTAATAAATGTTTGAGTTGTTTATAAGGGCCTCCAATGATGGCTGCTACAAGTAATTTCTTCCAGTGACAAATTATACTTACCATGACAAAGTATGACATTTAGTTATACTATATACATTTAGTTATGGTTATATAAGGATTTATAACATCCAACTAAATGTTGCTGAAGTTGAGTTAAATACTACTTAGCCTTTTCACTGTAAGCAAACAACTGAGTTCTTGTATGTCCCTTCTGTTTTGTTTTTGGTTTTTTTTTTTTTTTTTTTGATAACTAAGCCAACCCCATACTGTTCAGCCAGCCTTTATTTTGTTCACCTCTCATCATTCTGGCTCTTTGCTTTCTTCTTTTTGACTGAATCAGTCTCGAAGTGTGTGAGGTTGGACACAGCATCCCAGTCAGGGCTTCTCTCCCAATCAGACTGGAAGAATTGGTTGATAAATCGTATAGATTAAAGTCCTCTTCATGCATCCTGTTGGAATACACTAGTTTTCAGTATCAGATGTCAACTTGCATTCATCTTGTAACCCAGCATAAGAGACATCCTACCTGCTTGTTCCCAAAATAGTAGCTCTCCTTACTGAATTTTATTCTCTCACTACCCAAGATTTTATATGCTGAATGCAGCATCGCTGTTGGAAGAATTCACAGCTGTGTCCAACAAACTTGCATTCACCACATTAAAGATTTATCTAAGTTTCCCTAATTTGCATGGGAAAGTGTCAGAAGCCTCATTAACGCCAGAAGGCATCTGGAACTTCAGCCACCTTCACCCACTTCTCCACATGGTCTATTTCCTTTTTCTTAAAGGAAAGATGATTGTGTGAAACCCTTGTTCTTAACTGTGAATTCCTGCCTAGCTACTCGGTTTCTTTTGAGTTCTTTTTTTAGATGATTTTTCAAGTCATTATTGACAGCCAAATTATATAGCTTGTATTCTGTCCTCCCCATACTCAAATTCAGGGAAACTGATTCCTGGAAACCCATTCATTTTTCACAGGTTCCTATATGAATCACCAGTAATTAACTGGAGATTGCTTCTGTCATTCTCTAATCTCTTAAGGATATTTTTTCATCAAGTTGAAAATATTTACCAAAACTAATTAAAAATAACCTGCAAACCAGTCTTTCCTTATTCCAGCTAGAGGCTATACTTTGTTTGTTACACTATTTACCTTGATCATGCCAGATTGAACAAAAACAAACATTAAACACTTTAGTCTTTAAAAGTTTTGTTCAGTAATATTTCAGTACCCCCTTGTCTTTGTGATCTGCTTTAGGTACACATCCTTAAAAACTGGCCTAGTTTCTGTAGGCTGCTTTCTTGTAATTGAGGCCATTGAAGAACATGGGCTTTTTCTGAGGTTCTGAATTTATTTCCCATCTTTGCTCTGCATGGTGTTCCCATAAAGAAATAACTGCATATAAGGAACTGCTGAATCCTTGAAACTGTTTTCCCTCATATTAATTCCCTAAAAGATTTGAAAGAAATTCCTGGAGTTTGCATTCTTGTCTGCTGCCACTGCTTTGTTCTTTTTCCTTTTAAAATCGATGAACTTCATCCTTTTTATTATCTTCTTTCTATGTTGCTCTGTTTTTCACTTTCAGACCATTTCTCCCTAATTTTGCTAGAAGCAAATGTGGCACACCCACCACTATCATTGGGTTTTTTTCATCATTAGGAAAAAAACCCACTGGTGCATCCTATGATTATTTTTCTGTGCAGTCTGCCTGGCTGTATCCCTTTCTGAATGAGGAATATGCACATTCCTTGGGCTCCCCACAGCTACATGATCCTGGTCTCTGGATGAATCTCTCAGGTGCACAAAAAATCTCTTCCACCTGCTGCCTTGTGGGGTATTTAGTACAGTTCAGCTGTGGCAAAATCGTTGTATTTGTGTATGTTGTTGTAATCGTTGTATATGTGAAAGCTTCAGCTTTCACAGACCTTTCTGACCTGCCTCTCACGTTCTTCCCGACCATAATCGCATAAAGCCTGTCCTGGCAGTCCCTCCTGAGCTGTGCTAATCCATACCTTGCTGTTCACATAATCCATTTATTTAGGGACCTCTAAAGATTTATTAATGGTGGGCTATTTAAACCCCTCCTTATGCTCTTGAAGAGAGTCCACAGAAGGTTATTTTTCAGCCAAGAACCAGACAGTGAAAAGGAGATAGGAAGGGAATAAAATACTCAGTATAACTTGATACTGTGCTGTTAAGAAGTTCCAATGGACTGAGCCTCCCTATCCTGTCAGCTGCTGTCTGGGATTCGTGAGATCCTCGAGTAATGCTGCGGAGGACTCAGCTCCTTGTATTTTGATCACTAAAAGGGCCAAGAGAACTAACTTTAGCCAAGCAGCAAAGGCTCTTTCCCCTGATGCTGGGCAGGGGAGGCCGTGCAGGCTGACGGGCCGGGCTGAGGGGGCTGTGGTGAGGGGAGCAGAGCTGGGGCCACTGAGGGGACCAGGGGAAATGGCCTTAAGCTGAGACACGGGCCATTCACATTTACACATTCGGTATTAGAATTTCACTGTTCGGCTGGTCAGGCATTGCGAAAGGCTGCCCAGGGAGGCGGTGGAGTCACCATCCCTGGAGGTGTTTGAGACGTATGGCCCTGGCGCCGGGTGATGTGCTTTAGTGGTTACAGTGACGCCTGTGAGGGTGGACTGGACCACACTGAACGTCTCTTCCAACCCCGATGTGTCTGTAATTCTGCGATTCTAACAGGGGGGGCACCGGGCCGTGCGGGCTCCGAGAGCCGCCCCCAAGCACGGCCTCGAACCCCCGGCCCCGGACGTGACGCGCGGGGCGCAGGCGGATCCCGCCCCCGCTCCCCAGCCCGCGCGCGGGGGCCGAGGCGGAGGAAGTCTGGCCCCGCCGACGCTCCGTCGCGCCCGCCGCCATCTTGTGCGGGAGGAGGCGGCGGCAGCAGCAGCAGCGCGGAGGAGCCGCGGCCGTGCCTCCCGCCCGTCTCCTTCCCTCGCTCCCTGCTTCCCTCCTTCCCGGCCCCGCCGTCCCGCTGCCGCGGCGCCATGTCTGCCGAGAGCCCCGAGCCCGCCTCGGCCGAGGAGCAGAAGGTGGGTGGCCGGGCCGAGGAGCGCAGGGAGCCCCGCGGGGCTTCTCCCGCCTCCATCGGCGCGGCCGGGCCTCTCCCTCCCTCGGCCCAGGGAGCCCCGCGGGCCGCAGCGTCTCCGGGCCCGGCCGCCCCTCAGAGCACCGCCTGCCCCGGGCTGTCGGAGCGCAGCAGGGCCGGGGGCGCTGCCCGGGCCGCGGCCGTGAGGGGCTGGAGGCGGGGGAGCCGTGATGGCTCGGGACCGTGTTCCCCGGGCCATCGGCGCTGTGCGCTGGCCCGGCCGGGCCCATGGCGCTCCCTCGCTCCTTCGGCCTCGGCCCCGCTCCCTCCGGGTGCTCCGCGGGCCGCGCCGTCCTGCGCCATGGCCTTCGGCTCCCGATCGCAATGGCCCGACGGACACCAGCCATAAGCCGCGGGCTAAACGTTTGTTTCACTGCTAAAAATTGTTCAGTTTTTAACGTAACCAGTTCAGGAGCGGAAATACCCAAATCACAAGGACCGTGACCGTGCTAGTTAAGGCTTTTAGAAAGAATAAGTGGCTGGGTTATCTTGTGTCACTCTTATGTCATCTCTAACTAATAATTGTGTCATTTCTCAAGTGGGATTTGCTTTCGTAGATGGCTGTGCTGTGACTTTAAGAAGCCGTTTGTTTTTTAGTCTTGTCATTGCCGTGGGAGCCGGGTTGCAATCCCCGCGGCTGTGATCCGGAGAAGTTATGAA